TCCCTTAAGTCGTCTGGGTGCGAAGTCGAGGATTTGCTCTTCACTAGGATATCGTCCACGTATACCTCCATATTCCGGCCGATCTGCGGTTTGAACATTCTATCCATCAGCCGCTGGTAGGTTGCTCCCGCATTTTTGAGGCCAAAGGGCATGACGACGTAGCAATATGTCCCCTTACTCGTCACAAAACTTACCTTGCTTTGATCCTCGGGGGCCAATGGAATTTGGTGGTATCCTTGAGATGCGTCCATCATGCTCAGCAGTTCGCAACCAGCTGTGGAGTCGACTAGCTGGTCGATTCTAGGCAAAGGGTAATGATCTTTTGGGCACGCCAGGTTTAAGTCACGAAAGTCGATGCACATACGCCACTTGTTCAATGCCTTCCTCACCATCACTGTGTTAGATATCCATTCGGGGAATTGGATTTCCTTGATATGTTTGGCCTTTTGCAATTTGTCCACCTCGACTTCGATCGCTTTGTCAATTTCAGCGCCATGGTGCCTGAGTCGTTGCTTCACGGGTTTCTTGAGGGGGTCGACATTGAGTTTGTGCTCCATAACATCCGGGTCGATTCCCGTCAATTCTTCAGGAGAGAAAGCGAATATGTCCCTGAATTCCTTCAGCAATCCCACTAACTGTTCCCGCAACTTGTCCTCCAACTCTCTCCCGACTTTAGTGGTTTGGTCTCTTGATTCTCCGATTTGAATTTCCATCAACTCTTCATGGGGCTCGAGATCACTCCCTCTCGGCCTCTTTTCGCTCGTCATTGGTTTCTTGCCTTCCTTGACCTCAGCTCGTTGGTTGGTTTTGACCGCGATCTGGTAACATGTTCTCGACAACTTTTGATCCCCTCGAGCTTCTCCCACTCGATCTCCTACCGAAAACTTCAACTTCATGTGGTAAGTCGACACGACTGCTTGGAAGGCATTGAGTGCTGGCCTTCCAAGAATCACGTTGTAAGCCGACTCGACGTCGACTACCACAAATCTCACAATTTTTACTTTCCTCAAGTCGCCCTCCCCCAAGACGACAGCGAGCGTGGTTTCTCCCAGGGGAGCGACTTCCGACCCATTGAATCCAAAGAGTGATGTATGTAGAGGCGTAAGTTCGATGTCCAGCTCCATCCTTCTGAGGCATTCATAGAAAATTACGTTTATGGAACTTCCAGTATCGATAAACACCCTTTGCACCTCATATCCCGATATCTGCGCAGTTATCATCAGGGCATCATTATGTGGTCTCTCGACTCCACCAACGTCCGCAGGTCCAAAGTTCATTACTGGTCCACTCTCGTCAACCTGCTGCACCTCGACTTTCACATATCGGCCTCGAGCATAGGCCTTTCTTGCTCGATTAGAATCTCCATCAGTCGACCCTCCAAAAATCATGTTAATTACTCCTCTTTTTTGTGGGAGTTCATCCATCTCTGGTGATCTCGCCCTCTTGCGAGGACTCTTGCTTCTTTCTCGTCTCCTGCTCGACCTCTCACGATCTTTGTATATGAACTCCTTCAAGTGGCCCACCTTTATCAACCTCTCAATCTCGTCTTTCAAGTGTCGGCAGTCGTCAGTGTTATTCCCGTAATCTTTATGGAATCGACAATATAATTTGCTTTTGGGTTTCATGGGTCCGTCCTTCCTCGTCCGCGGCCATCTCACCACATCGTCGCGGATCTCCCTTTCCATTACTTCTAGAATTCTCGCATGAGGAGCCGACAGTGGTGTGTATTGAGTCGGTCTCCATCCCCTAGATCGGCCTTCACCCCTATCAGCTCTCGGTGATTCCCTTCTATCTCCTGTCGATTGGCCCTTTTTCTCCTTCTTGTCGTCTCGACTTTCAGCTTGGGACATTTTCACATTTTGCAAATAATCGGCTTCGGCCTCCTCGACATTCATATATTTGGCACATCTTCCCAACACGTCATCGAAACTCCTACCCGGTCGCTTGGCAAAAGAGTTTTTACATAACCCTAGTAGTAGTCCTCTCGTCAGTCCTCCTGATTTAATTTCCTCTGTCGCTGTTGGGCACTCGACACACGCCTTTGTAAACCTCGCAACATACTCTCGCAGCGACTCACCCTTCTTTTGCTGCATACTTATCAGCGAGAGATAGGATTTCTCTTGCACCCTCACACTTGCAAATTGGTTAAGAAAACTCGAGCTGAATCCATCAAAGTCCCTAATCGACCCCGCTGGAAGTTGGTGAAACCAGTCCTGGGCTGACCCTGTCAGAGTTGTCAAGAAGGCGCGACATTGCACCGGGTCGCTGTAGCGGTGGAGCACCGCCATGTTCTCAAAACTTCTCAGATGTCGAGACGGGTCCGTGGAACCGTCATACCATATGTTCAACTCCCTAAAGCCTTTGGGTAAGTCGGCTCTCAGGATCTGCTGCGAGAATGGGTGTTCTTTTGCTCCTCTGCTCTTCTTCCCACCGACTCGAGCTTGCAAGTCGCGAACCTGTGCCAGTAGTTGTTCTAACGTCTCGTCCCTCGCCTGTGGATTAATAGTTCGAATGGAGGATTCTTCCTCGTCCACCCTTCTATTCTGTTGTACATTTGACTGGGCTTGTTGCTCGCTGCGCGGCTGCTGCTCGACTCGAGGCGAGTACTCGACACGGGGCTGTTGCTCGACCCGGGGTGGGTACTCGACTCGAGGCTGCTGCTCGACCTGCGCCATCTGCTTCATCTGGGAAGCCACGGCTTCAGCAATCATCTTTTGCATTTCACTCCTCGTCACTGTCAAGGTCTGCTCCTCGACGCGGGGTTGTGTCTGCTCCGGTATCTCTTGTATCTGTTTTCCCTCGCGTCGAGACATCTCCGCTGGTTCCTTCTCTCCATCTGGGTTAGGGCTTTGACTTGTCCCCGCCTGGGTCAACACTTGTAGCTTCACGCCGGTTGGAGTGACAGGTGTTTCTCCGCCCAACGTCAGTTCTGGTGGTAGAAGTCCTCCAAATGGTGGCATCCCCATCATCTGCATCACGGGGTGTTTGGTGATGGAGAGCGGTGGTGGCCTCTTGTCCATCCACGTCCCTCTGAACTCCTCGTTCAAATTTCTCTGCAAGCCTTCCTTCTCCGCCATCAGCAAACAGATCGGAGCTGAGTGTGGAGCTCTTCCTTCCTTCAAGAACTCCCCACAGACGGTGCCAATATGATGGGTCTACTTCCAGATCTGTAGTAAACCGGTGGATGTAAGCTCAGATCTGCTTGAACCGCTTCCAAATCGTTACTAGACCGCGAGATTCCTGCAAAAACTCAACGCCGGAGATGTTTCCGGCGTAGAGCCTCCGACGCTCAAGTCAGTATATGAGTGATGAAGAGATGCTGCGCAGCAGCTATAGGGGAGAATATGAATGAATGAGAGTTAGGGTTTGGGATCACCTCATCTCCTTTATATAGCAGTGAATACTTACTTGAAGTACCTAAAATGCCCAAGTCGGTGGACCTAGAAGGTCCAAAATGCCCCGGTCGATTCGCCTCCCCTTGCTGCTAAGTCATCATAAGATTCCTTCTTATCCTTTGTAATATGTGGAACTTCAAGTATGCTACAAGTGTGATGAGTCGTCATCACATCTTTGTTATTCGCGTGTGGGGTCGACTTCGAGAGCTAGGAGGTCGACTTATGGATATGTGCGGATTCGGAGGCTACGCTCGGATAACTCTCTGAGGTGAAATCGTCTTCAGAGGGTCATCTTAGTTGAGTCGACTGCTGAGAGTCGACTTAGGGTATCGGGATGCTCAGGCGTTATGCTCTTGCTGTTCTTCTTCCACTGATGTCGACTAGTGAAAGTCGATAGACTAAGGTCGACTTGGGAGAGTCGACCTGACCAATTTCTGCCTCTTTTCGGTTGCTATTGGTAGAATCGACTTTAGGGAAGTCGATGTGAGAATGTCGACAGAGTCATGTCGACATGCGAGTTGTTCGAGTGGTTCACCGGTCGAGTTGGGAGCTTCTAGACCGGGTTATCCTTATGTGGCTATATCACAATATATATATATATATTTAATACCTCTTAATGTGTGTATATATATATATATATTGTGATATATATATATATATATATATTGTATATATAACATAATNTGTGTGTATATATATATATATATATATTTAAGACCACTTAATGTGTGTGTATATATATATATATATATATTTAAGACCACTTAATGTGTGTGTATATATATATATATATATATTTAAGACCACTTAATGTGTGTGTATATATATATATATGTAAGACGTATATATATTTTTTAATTATATTAACTTTACTTGTGGGCCCTATTACAGTTTTACAAAGTCAATTTCTTTTCTCCCATTCCCAGCAAAATCCCGCTCATACACATTCCTCCTCTTTTATTTTCTCTCGCAGTCGCCCCGCAGAGCTGTCAAATTTGGGTGCAATTAACAGGAAAAAAAATGAAATTAATCTTTCAATAATCGGAGTGGCTTGAACTTCTTCTTCCTCAGTTGGCTATTAATTTTTATTTCAGAAGGTATGCTTTATTTAATTATTTTCTAGTTTTTATAACCCTAAATTTGTATTTGGGAATTTTTAAAATTGATGTAATTTTTAATTTAGGGCTTTCATGATTTTAAAAAATCGTTTTAAAATTGATGTAATTTGTATTTGGCGATTGCTACTGTCGAGAGATCATTTTTCTGCTATGACTTGTGTGAAAAATCGTTTGCGCAACCGGATTGGGGATCAATGGTTGAGTGATAGTCTGATTGCATATATTGAGAAATATGTATTTGATAAGATTGAGCATGATGTAATAATTGAACGCTATCAGAATATGAGAACACATAGAGAACAATTGTAAAATAACGTTTGTTATTTTTTTGTTTCTTCTATAAATTATATTGTGCCCCCTACTTTTAAATGTCTGTGTCCGCCCTGTTTTCGGTGATCTAATTTATAAATATAATTTTGGTAATAATATAATAACAAGTAGACATTTTTCAAAAAAAGTAGGCATTTTCTATTTTTTGGAAAATGGCCAACGTTAGACCGGCCACCAGAATACCATGTAATTTAGTTAAAGTTTAACCCGGTCAATTTTAACAGAACGCTTTTTACAACTTTTGCCTAAAAACGTAGTTTAAGCGATTTTGTCCAGAAAAGAATGTGCCATTTGCTGCAGCTGAAGATATTTATCACAGTGCCATAGGTCAAACCAGTCACTGCACAAGGGGGAGAAAACGTTAATAGCAGCTGCCATGGCGTTAGAGCAAACCCTAGCTGTAAAGAGCCACATTCTCATCTATCACCTGCCTCGCCCAACTGCTTCGTCCCTAATTTTCACCCTCAACCCTAAAAATCGGAGAAGTTCATCCCGCATAAAATGCTCGTTCGACTACAACGGCAGCGGTACCGCCGCGAACAACGGCAGCGGGTTTTACGAGTACGAGCGAGGTGCGGAGACTTCCGCAGTGGCGGAAAGCATGCAGCACCCTAAGCCGGCGGAGATTCAGTGGAATAAGGAGCTCTGCAACACGGTGCAGTTTATTGGTGTAATTGCGGCTCCGGTTCAGATTAAGCATTTCCCTTCAGGGAAAGTTGTTGCTAATTCTCGTCTTACCGTGAAGACAAACAAAACTGATACAGTTCGGTGGGTTTTTTGTTCCTTCATTCTATTTATTAATGTTTTTCTTCTTTCTTTTGTTAATTTTTATTACTCTGTTCAGTTTGTATTTGTTGTGTGATGCTCTTTTTGTGTGACAAGTGGTGGAATGAGATGAAGGAAATTGCGATTTTGAGCTCTCCTTTATCGGAGTTTGCATCGGAAGCTCGTGCTTTTAGGTGCTATAGAAACGAAAACATGAATAACTTCAAATAGATTTTGTTCGAAACGAAGTTAAGCAAGAAATATATGGAATCTAGGCATATGCAGTCTCAGATGCTGGCAATTATAGTTATGTGTCCATCGCATAATCCACTTTGCGAATGGATTTATTTCGGGTTTTTCATATTTGTAGCAAGATTTTCGCTAATGGAGGTTAGGAATACTAAAATGGAACTAGAATAGTTTGTTCCATGTGGTTGAGATGCTTTGCTAGTTTGCCTTCTGTTTGTCGGCTTATGTTTATTTTTCAAAGTTTTTTTTTGCACTTTAGTGTCTTCAAATAGAATGATAGTTTCTTTCAACTGCAAGTGAAGGATTTAACTGGCCTCTCAGTTGAAATCTTATTTGTTGTAGCTCCATCACGTTTTTTTGTTCCCTGCAACGCTTAAAATGATTTGATGATAAATTTAATTTTATTTTTTTCCCAGCAATAGTTATAAACAGCTAGTGGATATTTTTCAGGATAAACTTGAATTTCTGGAATGAGTTGGCCCAAGTTGCTTTTCAGCATGTCGAAATAGGTCACCAAGTATATGTCGCTGGTCGCCTAGTTGCAGACACAGTTCAAGATGATAATGGGATGTCACAGACCTACTATAAGGTGTCTTGGTTTTCTTTAACATATGTTATTTCTCGTTTTAATGGTAATTAAAGTAGGACATTGTATTATTTGTAACAGGTAATTGTAAAGGAATTGAATTTTATTGAAAGGAGCCAAATCAAATCGTCCACTCCATTATACTATGGGGATTCCAACTCTGCGAGACAAGGTGTTTATTTAGGCATATGTCTTTCCTATCCATTATTGTGTTCCGTTTTAGATTTTGATTTTCATTTTTGTCTGATTTTAGGCAAAAAGCAATACCCTACAAATTCAACTGGTTCATTAGAAGAACTCTGGCAAGCATTCTTTGCTAATCCAACGGAATGGTGGGATAATAGGAAGAACAAGGTAACTCTCTTTTAGTCCAGGCCTAAAAATTTACTTGAGAGATTTTAAAGAAATTCTCATGCCATTGGCGACGAAGTGCTCAGAAACTTGAAATTTTCACTTTTACATGCATGGAGAATCGTAATTTCTTTCCTTGCCTCTTTTTTCTCTTTTTTTTTTTTTTTTTTAAAAATGNTTTTAAAGCTTACTATTCATTTAATCTATTGTTCACCTCTCATATTGGTTAATGTTTCTGGATAGAACATAATTTATGCCTATTGCAATCACTAGTCTTGAGATTATAACATAGACCTAACTAATGGATTACATCTGTCTGTACAATTCCCTTGATATTCTTTTTTCGTACCCACGCACCTTCACCCACCTCCCAAAAACGAAAAATAAACCATGTTTCAAAATTAGGAAATCCATGATGCTACTTCTATTTTACAAGTTAAAATTTTCTGAATGTGGATATTCATTAAGAGATGGCCTACTTAAGGGGGTGCTTTGTTTTTGTAGTAAGTTACAAATATGTATAATTTTGTAAAAAAAGAGGCTTTTCGTTTTAATTAGACTAAACATTGTGGGCGAGCTTTTGTTAATTTTACCCTTCTACTATATCCCTTTGTGTTGAAACCATATCTCGATCATTTCTTGTTCCAGAGCTTTCGATTTGTAATATTTTAATCTGCAGAAAAACCCGAACTATCCAGATTTCAAGCACAAAGATACCGGTGAATCGTTGTGGGTTGATGGTAGGTATAATCCATCATGGGTAAAATCACAACTTGATGTGCTCGACTCCAAGATGGAATCATTTCGGGAGCAAAACTTGAGCGCGTATCAAAATTTCATGTCTGTGGATAATCTTGGGCCCTTCTGATGAGCAAAACTCGAGGGCGTACATGTGTGGATAATCTTGGGCCCTTTTAGTTTGCTATTCATGCTTGCTGAGACAAATTTTCCTAAGCTGATGGTTACGATTCTGTACAGGTTTCACTGTACTCTACTGTTAACCACACTTTTGATCGACTGCATCTTGATTTCATCTTTATCAGTGTACTATTATGTTGAAGTGTTGTAGTATTGGTGTTTTGTCTGTTCCTGCTAACAAGTGGCATTGCAGTTGTTAAATTCTTCTCTGTTACGCCCATTTATGTTCACTTCATTAATTCATGATCTTGCGATGGGGCTGACAATTGGATAGACACCCTAACAAATTAAAGTTGTAGATTACTAATACCTTGTGGGAATAAAAGTAAAGTGTTTTGAGTTGTGATGATTTTAATTTTGGAATTTAGAAATATTGTAATCGGTTGAGCTATCAATTATTGGCCTTGACTCAACCAACTCTAGATCGTGAGCTGGAGGGTTTCATCATATAATGAGCTGTTGTATGGTCCATAATCTCTTAATAAAAAACAAGGCTTTGGAAGACCAGCCAAAATCAAGAAAACGAAAGTAATGAGTCGGATGATCTTCAATCTTCAAGTTTTTGATGGATTTACATAGATGCTAGCAGTTCATGTGCGAAAGGTAAACTTTTCACACGAGAATCTGCAGAAAATTGCAAAGGAAACAAAGGAATAAAAGCACAGAGATCTGTCTATCATTTATACAACAAAACAAGAAGAAAAATAAAAGATGTTCAAAGTTCAAACACATCCCCTTACACTTCCCATTTGCGGGACAAGGATAAAAGTCCTATGAAACTGTTTATATGCCTACTTTCCCAGATCCAAATCTATGTTTGTCTGCCAGATTCTGTATGAATTTTCTTGGAACAAGAAAGAGAACGAAAAAAAAAAAAAAAAAAGAACTTGGTGTTAGCATATCTAAAGGCAACCTAATCCTTTAGCTTCAGACCCTTTCATAATCCTCAGCTTCTTGCAAAAACTAATGAACATATCCCATGGGACATCTCCAACTAGCATCCAGTCTCCATCTTTGTCTTCATAAGTTGGTACAAATTCAGATCCATTATACCCTTCTCTCTCTGAGTACACCCCTGAATATTTTACAACCAAAAAAATAAAAAATAAAAAACATAAGTACCCCTTTCACAATTTGTAAACTACAAGGAAAATTACAAGAATATCTGGAATTCTTTCTAAGACAAAGGAAAAAAAAAAAAAACAATGAATTATACCTATGGCACAGTTGAACATGCTCTCTAAGGCCTTGAGAAGATCAGAGTAGTTTTTGTAGAATTTGAGATCAATCTTCCTTAAATATGGAGCTCCATCCATACTCACTTTCACAAACATACCCGATCCATCTGTTCCGGGTTCGGGTTTTTTCAGCACATTTTTCCTGTAAGATCTAACTGGTGGCCAGCCAACCATTTGTGCCCTGAAAAAATCACATAAAATATTAGGATAAACACAAAATTCTTTTTTGAGGCAATTTAACCATTATGCGAGTCGATGTAATGTACTTTCTCAACCAAAAATGCATATCAGTTCGAACGTATGAACATCTGATAGAAAAATTATGGCTATGTAACCGTTATGCCTTCCTAACATAAAGACAGGTTTTTGTTATTAACCTTAATTTGTACCATGAAGCATAATTGATTAATATTATTAGCTTCAACTTACTTTGGAGCTGGGGCAACAAATTCTTTCTTCCCATCTTCTTTTCTTGTACTATAATCCATTTCTGATGAAGGCCTTTTGTTAATATTCTTGAGACAAGAAGAAGATTGCTGCTCAGCTTCATCTTCTCTTCCAGGCAATCCTAATCTCAGCTCAGTTGCCTTCAGATTTAAATCGCTTTCGAAAATCGCTGCTGATTTTTCCATTTTCTAAAAGATTACCTCCCTTCTGATTTCTAATATCCCTTTCCTTTTCTCCTCAAGATTTTTTTTTTTTTCCAGCAAAATGTATATTGAATGAAAGTCTGTCAAATGGGGCACAAGTTTTATAGAAGCTCTTTTAGGTCAATGAATGAGACACTGTGTCTGGGCCTTATTCTCCGTGTGCATCATTTACATGACACAATTTTATAGTATTATATATTTAGGGAAAAAAAAAAAAAAACTTATTTCCAAATAGTTTTCGATTTTCACTAATTACTGTACTAACGTTATTTCGAGAATCAGTTGTCTGAACTTTACTTTGCACTTTTTTCAATATGTCTTAAATCGCTACAAAATCGGCTAAATAAATTTTGTGCTTTATTCAATTTGTTCCTGAAACCCTCTACAAGGTGTTTTTGCAGCAAAAAGTAATGTGAGATATTTTATAATTTTTCCCTATATAGTTTAGACATCAAATTTCTTGATATTACTAACTTTTTTTCAATTTGTTTGTGAAATCAACTATAAGGTGGTTTTGTCACAAAAACAATGTAGATATAGTACAGTTTTTACCCTATATATTTTAAATATCAATTTTCTTGATATTACTATGTATAATAATTTTTATATTTATCTTAAAAATAATAAAATATATTTAATCATCAATTTGTAATAATTGTGAATTAATTTGTATCACCATTCACCGTGTATAGTAGTGTTCAATTTATCAATGATCATATATACATGTAAATTGCAAGGGCATATGTGCGTGGGCCACACGTATTAATTAGTGCGTGTGGTTGTGGGGACATGAATTTGAAGTACAGATATGCATGTCGCTTAAAAGTATAGCAACTTTAATTCTAATCCATTAAAAAAGAGGGAACAAACGTTGGACAAACGACAGCGCTTTCATCAAGGCAGTGGCCGGGAAACGAACCGCTGAGATGAGTTCGTTAGGGTATGTCTAACCAGAACCGTCAGATCGTACTGGTTGTGTTTTTAATTATTGGACACTAATTATTAGTGGATAAAACATCATTTTAAAGTAAATTATTATGTTTGAAACATTTTTTTATATTGAAGTGATATGTTTTTTTTCAAATAATAAATGAAAATTTTTCATGGAAATACTATTTTGGTTTAAAAATTATGTTATGTCGATGAGTCGATCTATCTAGAGCGCTTAAATGACCGATCACTGCATTTAACCTAAAAAATATAAATATATACGTTTTTCAATAGCTCGGCACGTTGTGGCTTGAAATTAGAAGTTATTATATAAGTTTTAATAACTCGACTCGTTAAGGTTTGAGCCGATATCGACTCAGCTCGATAAAAGTACTCGAGCTCCATTCTGGTCGTTTACATCTCTATACACGCTTAATAATCAAATTGACTAATATAAAAATTTACGTTATTTAAATCATTATATTATAAAATATAACTACTATATAATAACCCTTTCCCATTTCCCTCACAAGAAAATTAATTCTAATATTTTCTAGAATTAACATAACTATATTTTTTTACTAGGTTTTAGTGTCATATTTCAAAAAATTCAACTTTCTTGTTGCTTGTAAATCAATATTGGAGTGACCAATAATTTACTCATCTCTCACGTTGACTAACCAAATCAAATAAAATACTCAATTTTTTTATGGAGTCATTCATGACTTTATGTATTGACACGTGTGAATACACCATCTGTAGATAACCATTAATAGCTCCATAATCTGAGTCATTCAATAACTTTAGATAACCATTAATAGCTCCATAATCTGAGTCATTCAATAACTTTATAGCAAAACCGAAAATACATATCAATTAAATCATGGAAAACATGAAGGGGTTGACCCCCAGTCCATGTCTGGTGCTGGATTTAACAAAGGCCATGTGAACTTGAATTGTGAATTAGGAAAAATTTGGATTGGCTCAGATGGTATGTGTTGTGTAGGATAGACATGTGAGTTGGCAATTTGGCATGTGAACACGTACAAATTTAGATGGGATCCACTTTTGAGTGATAATATATCTTTCTCACACAATTATTTTAAGAGTGTTAATATTCACGGCACCTAATTTTACTATTCATCGTACTCAAAAAATACTCTTTTGCCTTCATTAAAAAATAATAATAATAAATTTAATTTTTAATTTCTTTTTAACATTAAAAAAAATTATAATTCTTAGAAAATGACAAATGTGGCCAATCCAAAAATTCATTCTAACACAAAAACCGAAAAAAAAAAGATTCATAAAAAAAATACAAAAAATTCGAACAAAATTCGAAAAAAATCCAAAAAAATGGCGGGACAATCCTCACGCACCGGGAAAGGACTCTCCAATTCACAAGTAATTTTTGTTCTTTTTTTTACATTTTTCATGATTTTTTTTGAAAAAAAAAACTGTTGGCCGGCCGTCCCCCGACTGCGGCCGCAGTGGAGCGAGCCGACCGGCCATTGCGCATTCTCATGCCTTGGCCGCGCGGATTCCGCGGCCAAAACTGGTGTGGCCGCCTGCGGCCATCCACTAAACGGCCGCAAAAAATGGTCTGCACACTTTGGCCCGGCCGCGCTTGGCCCAATGCGGCCGGCCGGTCCATTCCGGGCCGCGTGCGGCCGATTTTTTTTTTTTCGCGGTTTTTTTAAATTAATTAAAATAATTAGTAATAAAATTATATTAATATTTTATATATTTTGTAATTAATGAAAA